GCCTGAAATGAGGCTCCTGAGATAGGACCCTTCGTGGATGAGGCCGCAACCCCCCTTTGGTGAGGTCGCTAAAATTTGCCCAAATGTTGTGCTTGATTGCCAGGAAGTCGCTGCTTCGCAAACCTTTTTGTGCTGACAGAGTTGTGGTATGTCTGCCGCTCAGCATCAAGCATCCACCTCCCTTCCTTTGCGGTAAACACTTGGCAACCATGTTGCAACCGTCTCCTTTAGGGCCTTGGGGTATTTGCATTGTCTCCTGTCTTGCTCTGAATTTGCCTTCAAATCTCCAAGCCTCTCCCCAAACCCCCCTGCCCCCCTCCAGCCCGCCTCTGGCACAAGACAAGCGAGTTGGAGCCGCCCACATCCACGCAAAACAACTCGCCCTCCTGCAGATCAATGCGACACGCGGGGCACCCCAAGCCGCGCGGGTCCACTCAGAAATCCTAAGAGTGTCTTGGGTTCCAGATGAAAACCCGGACACCTGCGTGGAAAAGCCAAGGCACAGCTCCAATTCACGCAGGCTTACATATGTATATATATATATATATATTATATATATATATATTATAGACATATATGAGCTATATGTATGTATCTGCAGCAAATGAAGCATATCAGATCCCTGTGAACCATGTATATTTCTGCATGTCCCAAAATACCAAGTGTCCGGTGCTTTTGCCGGGGCCGCGGCGATCTCTTCGCCGAAGGTGGTCACTACCCGAATTTGAGCCTCGAGTCGGGGCCGAACGGGAAACAAAAAGCCATGGGCGCCGTGGGGCGCTCAAACAGTCAGGCAATCCATTCGGAAAAAGTCCGGATGCTCAAAGAGTGCAGTGGTTCAACTTCTTGTTTGAAGCGCTGTATCAAAAACATTTCTGGAACATGCCGAAAGGAGCCTGAAGATGCCCAAGGGTAACGAAAGAATAAACCCAGGGTTCGTGGAGGGTTCCATATAAGGTGAAGGTCTCTGGTGGTTTGAACTTCTCAACCAGGTGAGAGTGCCTTGCTTTAGGGGCCCAAGCAAATGCTGGCTGTCCTTTTGGTTTCGCATTGAAACAAGAAAAAGGGGTACCCTCCAAATAAGACACGCCCAGGTTCATTTTTCCAAACCGGGCTCGAACCTCCCTCTCAGGTTGAAACATGCCCGAAGCTTGCTTAATGCACGCGATCCCGGCCACGGAATCTGGCGCGCCGCTTGCGTACTTCCACAAACTCTCTTTGCTCGGCTATTGAGCTCCTGTCAGACACCTAAGGTTGGGGCTGGTCAGATTGCAGAAGATTCGGGGCCGCAAAATAAACTGGTTCCAAGGGCCTGTGAGGTGACTTGGCTTTCATTGGCAGCGCCAGCCCCATCTCTTCATTCCCAAGGTTCAAAGCTCACATCCAACATGCTGAAACGCCAGTTCGGTTGGCCCCAGACAGGCAACAACTATAGCTTGCGAGGGCGGCAACAACGGCCCCGTGTTACAGTTGTCAAAGTCACCCAAGTGGTTGGATCAAGGGAAACAACCAGGAACTCTGAGATCACCCCTGAGTAAACTCTGAGATCACCCCTGAGTATAGTCAAAGCCATGGTCTCAGCAACAACAAGGCCCCCCCATCTCTCCAACGATCCCACAACTGTCTCCAGGGTTGTCTTGGTTGAAGGACATAGAGAGCTTGATTCAGTCCCACCCCCAGCATCATGTAAACATTCTTTACCGTCTGATCAAACATGGAAGTTGGCAAGTGACCGTTGCCGAGGGCCGGGCAACCATCGGTTGCAGGGCCATGGAAGCGCACACTGACGTGTCTTTTTTGAGGAAGCCCCCAAAAGGATGGTGTTCCTTTTGCTGTCCCTTTTACCCCAACCCAAAAAGGGGAACCAACTCCAAGGACGCACCCGCCATGATGTCCACCAAAGGGTCCGGGCAGCAACTGAAATTCACCCCGAGAGGCTCCCAGGAGATTCTCGGGGTTTTCCAGCGACCTCGGAATTCCGCGGCGGGCAACAAAAAATGAGGAAGGTCCAACAAGCGCAGAGACCCGCCCTTGAAAAAGGCTGCCTTGTTTCCGGCGCGAGGCCCAAAAAATCGACCCCAAATAGGAAGTGCGCACATCAGCTCGTTTCAAAATGAACCACAAATTGCCAAAAACCGAAGACCCTGGGCAGCCAAACCCAGCTGCCAAGTCAGGAAGGTGTTGCCTCCCAGGAAGGTGTTGCCTCGCAATGGGTGTCCGCTGTTGTCATTTTCAGCTTTGTTCTCCAGGTCGTGGAATACCACAAAAGCAAGTACATGTCATGGAAAACCAAAAGCGCGCCTTCGGGAGACAAGTGGGAAGGCAAGCCGTGACAAGGCCCGAGTCAGCAAGCACAAGCAAAGAGACAAGTGGGGAGAAGACAAGTGGGGAGATGGCAGAGGTACCTGGGACATACCATCGCGTGACAGGGAGCAGCTCTTTGCATAAATAGAGAACCCCAACAGCTAAGCTGTTTGGTGAACAGCTTGACAACCAGACGGCACTTGAAACAGCCACTGGAGAATGCAGATCGGCCGATCTGATGTCCCTGGCACCACAAAAATCTGCGGGAAGCTGTCAAAGTGCCTTCTGATCGCACCGAAACGAGACAAACCGCCAACCCGATTGCTGCCGAACTTGCAATCAATGGTTCGCTCACCATAGCAAAGGTTGACCACGGTGCTGGCTCATCGCCATTGCGCCGAGTTCCCTCTGACACAAGAAGCTGAAAAGGTTTGTTTCAAAATGCGGGGTAAACCCAAAAAGGTTGGGCAAAGCCCGTCATCCCACGAGGCAATGTTGTGGTTCGAACATGGAGCACGAGATGCACGGGGCCAGTCGTCGAACCCAAACAGATCAACTCAGCTCGAAGCACCAATCAAAATCCGTCAGCAAAGTGGTCGACCAAAACATAAAGAATCAAGAGGCCGGATATCCAAACCTTTTTGCCTGCTTCGAACCGTCCCTTAACCTTACTTACCCAGAATAGACCTAAGAATCACCGAGTACGTGTAGAAACGCTTTGAAACAGCTGATAAAGGTGTTGTAAAAAAGAAAATGCATCCTGTAAGGGAACCTCTTCCCATGAAGTGAGGAGTGAGCAAGGCGCATGTTGTGGAGGAATTGTCTCGGCTTACCTTCGAGTTTGTCTTCAAGGGGAACCGCCACAATGGCTGGTTGCCTTTCGGCTTGCCTTTAACAACAGAAAGGATTGGCTCAAAACAAAGACATGCTCACGTTTGGGGCGCATACCTCTAGGAGCATGTCATGAACTTACTTGACTATTTCATTTTAGTTCTCAACCAAAAACAACCTTGTCGATCGTGTCCCGAAGAGACATGAGGTATCCTTTTGGGATGAGTCCTAAGTGGTTGATTCACTTGCACCGAAGTCGGTCCCCAAAACCAACCAGAAAAATCAAAAGAATCCTCATGAAAACCCAGAGAAAATCAATAAAATCCTCATGTTTTTCTCCGCACCTCTGCTTAAGCTTGTCCCTAAGCTCCAATCGCCCGGGTGTCGATGCCTCACCCCGAACTTTGGGGCCCCAGGCATCGGATGGCGCTTGCCCGGGCTCGAGCCACTGCCGGTGGCTCAGAAATGGCCGCGGACGCATGCGCGCGGTGCATCCCCCCCGTTTCGCGGTCGGTGGTTTTTTTTCGGGGGGAAGACTGGCCACGGGATGCGGGTTTTTCTGCACCTTGCGCTTGAATCATGGGGAAATGTGCTAAAAACATATGCAGAAATCTGCCGGACTGCGCTCCAGCGTTGCTTGGGGACGGTTCGCCTTCGCCCCGAGAACGCCCGGCCAACGTTTCAAGTCTTGGAAAGGCCAGAACTCCAACGCCTTTCGGAGTCATGGAGCGTGGACCAAATGGTTCAAGAAACTGTCGAAAGGTTTCTTTTACTTCAGCAAGTCAAAAATAAAGTCACCCTTCGGAATCTAAAGAACCTGTCAAGAAACAGTCGACCGAATCCAAAGAAACTGTTAAAAGGTGAGATTGCTTTCTGCAAGCCAAAAGCACAAAAACACAAGTCACCCGAGTGAGCGCAAAGATCCGGAAGCCAATGCCACCTGATTCTGCTTGCCGAGCGGGTGATGTTTAGAAAACAAGCAGGACATTGTCTGGCACCCCAAACAAGCAAACATGCATAGGCGTCCTTTTAGGGGAACTGGATGGCCATGGTAGATAGTTAAACCACCAAATAAACCAGGAATCTCCACCGATTTGTTCTACCAAAACAACCAAAAATTGGACACCTATTCACACCAAAAATTGGACACCTCTGCCAACCCACGAACCCCGCCGGAAAAAAGAAGAGAAAAACAATGCGAGCAGCGGCCGCCTTCGGCTGAGACCTTGACAAACCTCCGGCTGGGGACCCGCGCCATCAGCGCCTCCCGCGCCAGGCCGCAGGCCTTGCGCATGGACTCCACCTCCGAATCCGCTGATTCAGCTGCCGCACGTCCGATTCAGCTCCAAAAGCGTCGAAGCATGGTGTGTGCCACTAAGACCCGAAAAGGTTTTCCCAAGATGAGTCCCCCATGTACAAGGCAAAATGGGTTTGTGCTTTGAGGCCACCCTGTTCAGCTTAAGGAACACCATGATTTCTGAGGTCCCCAAATCCCTTCTACTGCTTTTTAGGGGGCCCCCAAGACACTGGTTCAACGGTTCTTCCTGTTGTACCAACAAATGGATACAACAACAAAAACTCAAAGAGAGACCAAAGGCAATAAACCTGCCGTGTCTACCCCCTTTACTTTAGAGGGCTGGGGACTGTGGGGGTGCACTTTTTTGTTGATTTGTGCTGTGTTGCGTTGTTCCTCTTATGTACTTGTGGATGTGTGTGTGTGTGTTGGTGTGTTTGTTTCCGTGTGTGTGTGTGCACGTTATTTTGATGTCATTGCATGTTCTTGTATGTTCTGTCACTGCAAATGCACATGTAGTCATCTGGGCCAAGTACCACCTTACTTGTCCCTGGCCTTTTTTGTGATTGCCATGGCTCATCCAGTGCGTGAGCCAGTGGCTAGCTTCGAGTATGACATGGGGGGGCAGGATGGGGCCCTCACCTTTGATGAGGCGGTGAACCAAGTGGCAGGATGCAAGCTGACTGGTCCAGAAAGCCGCCCTATGAAATCCGATAGGCCTCCCAGAGATATATCCATCAAAGATCTCCCAATTCGCTTTTTGGATCCTCAGGTGGGCTCCAAATTGGAGCAGTTTTGTGATGTCATCCCAAACCATCCAGGCACAATCTCGCAGCAATTCTTCGATGATGTTGTCTATAAGAAGTGCGCACAGGGTCTCTACAAGGAGCTACCCGAGCCTTGGCGTCTTCGCAAAGAACCTTCTGTGCCCTACAGCATGCAGATTGTCATCCTGCCTGATCCATCAACTCCCAATGCAGAGAATGGTGCCCGGGAAAGTGTCCTCATTTTCAAGCACGTCTACCTCCACAAAAACAAGCTTCCAGTCAAGGACTGCTCAGATTGTTGCTGTGGAATGGCCATGAAGTTTGATTGGGGAACCCATAGGGTGGCATTGATGGCATTCAACTTCATGTTGGATAAGGTCGGTGGCAAGCAAATTCGGTTCTGGTGTGTTCAGCCCAAGTTCCAGAAGAAGCTCACGATCGACAACCAGGCCCGTGCAGACGGCTACCGCTTCATTAGGGACCAAGGCCCACGTGCCAATAACCAGAACCAATTCATGGAATGGACGGACGAACAGATCCACACCCCAGGGAGTCCCATTGAAGGATGGCAGGAAGGCAAAGTCAACCAGGCCTTGCACAATTACATGCGCGGACGGCAAAATGCCAAAACCTTGGAGTACTGGCCTTTCACCCTTAAGAGCTTCGTCGATTGGTTCTTTGATGGCGTCCTTGTCACCATGTTGCCCTCCATCCGCCAGCATGGGATCACATGGATAGGCAGGACACGAACTGGGAAGTCGCTTGGGTCCAAGACCATTCTCTTCGCCCAGTCCAAGTTTGAGATCGACCGGGATGAGCGTGAGGATTTGGTGCCCTCCATTGTCACAGCCAAACACTTGGATTTCTTCAAAGCGGAACCCATTACCAAGTATAAGCCCGGCGTCTTCGATGATGGCATGCTCCAGAAAATGGATGCCTCATTCCTCAAAGCTTTCATCAACCCATCTGACCCTTAGCTGTAATAGCAATCGAGTGACACTTTCTCCAAGAAAAACCTGCTTTGGCTCAGGAAGAAGATGCGACAGTGTGGGCGCGGTACTCATCTGCCCAATTTGACCAGGGTGCAGGCAGACAGGCAAGCAACAACCCCTATGACAAAGCCGTGGACGACAAAGTCTATGCAGACATGAAGGCAAAGAAGATGTGGACTATCCCCCATTCTGACTTCATGAACCTCATTCAGCCCTCCTTCAGCGGTGTCGATGACATGGAGGATATGAATGCGATCCTCGCCCGGACCCACATCATTGTCATTACAGAGAACGGTGTGTATTGGAGAGTTGCCTCGACCCAGCACGAGATAGTGAACTTCATTGAATGGCCAGAGGATCGGCCCAAGGACTTGCTCGCGCCATCTCAGAAGCCCATCTCTGAAGCTTACAAGCGGGACCCTCACAAGCACACTTTGCCTCCCAATTTCATTGAGGACTCCATCTGGTCCCAGACCCTGTTGAAGAAGCTGTTCAATGGGGAGACCATTCCAAGATCATACACTATCCGCACCCCAGCTCCTCTTTTTGGTGGTGAAAGACAGCCTCCCCGACAAGTCTCTCCCAGGCTGATGCCCGAAAATGAGATGCGCATCAAGGTTAAGAAAGAGCAGGTTGACTCCGTGTGGAAGCAGCTCAAAAGGCAAGGGCCCCTGCAGATCGACTTGGACACGCCATCGCCAAAGAAGAAGCAGCCAAGGGCAAGCCTGAATGAGGAGGAGCATGCCACAGAGCCAGCCTCTTCAAGCAACCCAGCTAAGCCTTGCAAACCCTCGTCTGTGCCTGCCCCCCAAAACAGCACTGCGGTGCCCGCCAACCCGGACTTCCTAGGTGATATTGGCTCTGACAATGGATTCCCTGCTGTTGGTGAGACAGAGGACCTCGAGCAGGAGCTTGCCCACATCTTGGATAACATGGATGACTTCCCTGACAACACAGAGATTCAGCCCTCTGATGAGCCCAGCCTTTCCCCCGCAATGGAACCTTCCGAGGAACCAGCTCAGCTTCTCGGCAAGGTTTCGGAGGGTGTTCCGAACCCACCCAACGAGCCGGCCCAACTTCTCGGCACGGATTCCGAGGATGTTCAGAGCCATTCGAGGGATGTTCCGCACCCACCCGTTGAGCCAGCCCCTTCTCGTAACTCACCTTCTTTGAATGTGGATGATGACATGGATGTGGTAGAGAGCGAGTCAGCGGAGGGTGGCACCAGTGAATTGGATGCGTTCCAGGATGTCTGCGGGGTTAAAGTCTTGCAGTGGCTTGGTATACCCGTTCCGCACACATGCAACGGCCCATTCAAGGTGTCAGACCTCAATGGCATGATCAAACCATTCGGTGTCAAGCTCACGCACGTGCACAAGGTCAGGGTCTCATGCAGCGGCAAGTTCCTTTGTCATGCCCAAGGTCACTTCACTGGCATAAAGCTTGTCGAAGGCTTCGTCATTGAGTATAACAGTGTGCTGTTTGTCAACTCCAAGAAGGCGTTCACTCTGAACTTCTTGAAGTACCATGAGGAGCTAATGTTTCGCGGTCACGTGAGCGCGCTCGCGGTGGAGCATGCGTACTTCGCAACCCACAGCCCACACATGTCCAGTGAGAATGACATTATCGTGGACTTCCGCAAGCTCTATCACACGGGTCTGTTCTACTACCTTGCATTGAAAGAGTTCCAACCTCTCGATCGCCACCTTTCCATTGTCATAGATGATGAAGTCCCTGACAACACGATTGAGCTGTACGATGCCTACTGCCACGGGACCCTCTTTCCTCCTATGAACAAGCAAAAGGTCAAGATCGTGGTAGGGGATGGCAACATGCGCCTCAACATGTTGTGCCAGGAGGGCCCTAAAAGGAGGACTGGCCGACCTCGTGCAGGGCGAGCAAGCGTTGGCAAACATGCAAACGGGTGGTTCATGGTGTGCGACCCCTCCACGGGCAAGATCCTAGGCTTGCGTGTAATGAAGGAGCCAGAGAACACCCAGCACGTGCTCCAAATGCTTGATGCAGTGGTGTGGCTGTACCCGAAGCTGAACACCTTTGTCTACGATCGGGCTTGCTCCATTGTCCGCGCTGCTCATGAGGAAGACAGCCTTGGGCAAATCGAGCACTACATCGTGGATTGGTTCCACGCCTACCGCCACAACAGCAAGTGCAAATGCAACCCCAGTGCCTCATCTGTAAGTGAGTTGTTTGCATTCTAGTTTCTCGAACATTGTTTCGCCAAGGAAAGGTTCGGAAGCTTGGCAAGATCGTCAAGAATGTCAACACAAGCATTTGCGAACAGATATTCTCTTGGTTTCGCCACTACTCTACAGCCTTCAACGAGCTCCGCACCAACAGGCACAAGTTTGTGATGCTGTACATGGCAAAGCGCCACAACCTCGCCGTGGAAGCCAACCAGGCACAGTATCTTCGCCCAGATCCTCGTAAGAGCCTCGCTTCTAAGTCTTACACCTGTGGTAGCAAGAAGGCCATGAAGGGCAGGAAGCTCATGAAGGCAATGAGGGTCATGAAGGCCATGAAGAAGTAGATGTGAGTGGGATGTGAGTAGATGAAGAAGTAGCAATTGTTTTGCATCTGATGGCTCATGGCAAAAAAAAAGCTGCAGCTCTTCTGCCATTCTCCAAGAAGGACAATTCCTCTGCCACCACCCAAGAAAACAATGCAAATGAGCAAGCGCCGCAAACCAAAAAAAACTCGAGAAAACCAAAAAAACCTCGAGAAAACCAAAAAAACCAAAAAAACTTCGAGAAAACCAAAAAAACCTCGAGAAAACCAAAAAAACTCGAGAAAACCAAAAAAAAACAAAAAAACCTCGAGAAAACCAAAAAAACCAAAAAAAACAAAAAAAACCATTTGGGGCACTCTTGCTAAGCTGGGCTGTCTTGAGGAAGAGTCTCTGAGGAATGGTTTTTTGGTTTTTTTGGTTTTTTTGGTTTTCTCGAGGTTTTTTTTGTTTTTTTGGTTTTCTCGAGGTTTTTTTTGTTTTTTTGGTTTTCTCGAGGATTTTTTGGTTTTCTCGAGGTTTTTGTGGTTTTCTCGAGTTTTTTGGTTTTCTCGAGTTTTTTTGGTTTTTTGAAGATAACCAACAAAAGGCACACAAAAAAAGAAGAAAACCACACAACAAGAAACACAGGAAGCAAGCAGAAAAACAGAAGAAACCGCACCCCCAGGGTCCCCTGTTCTGTTACTTTACAGGGCATGTGATGCATGGAGCCCCATTTACCCTCCCAGACATGGAAGTCGACAGACCTGTAGAAAGACTACCTTCCTCTTGGTTAGTTGGCCTTTTTGCACGTCCATGTTAGTTGGCGGGAGGGTATTTCCCAAAGCAGTTTCTCCAAAGGAACTGAATGAGGTGTTCTGAGATCGGCCACTGTAAAGTTACCAAAGTTGAATGAATCACTAACGCATCCTTTGGGCTTAAGGGGAAACAAACCCGACGATGTACTGCACCAACCGTTGTCATCTTTGACCTACCAAATCTTGGATGCAATGGAAACCCTCGATTACTCAACCCCTGGTTGATTCAGGGATGTCCCATTGTCGATCGCTTTTTGGGGAAACGTCCAGGTTGATTCCTCCAGAATTCAGCCATTTCCTGGACCTCCACTTGTTTTTGCCGGCGTTCACTCCACAGCTCGCGAATGACCCCCTCGCCTGCTCCGGTGACTTCACCTCCACGCAGTACATGAAGGGATGCCTCGCCGACAAGCAAGGCATCGCAGCGGCGCGGAAGGCAGTTTTGCTCACAACGGGCATGCAAGGTGTGGAAATCTATGTCTGGCAGCACGTATCTTCGTCACTCGTCCAAAGATTTCATGTTGCCTATCGCCAGTGCTACTAGAATGCAAATGTCAAGAAGCCACCCCAACTTTCACAAAGTTGCCTCAACATCGGCATCGGCAACGACTCACTCCGAGTGAGCCGCGTACCTGTTGGTGGTTGGTGCGTGCGTCCTCAATTACTCTCACATCCATCTGCCTAAAAAGGAAAAAAACATGCTGCGCTGGGTTTGTCATACAACCGAGAAAGCTGGCATTGTAGATCAATCAAACACAGTGCCATCCTACACTTCTGTTTGCGTGCTTTGCACGCATGACCAGAATGCAGGCAGGAACACATAGACGCACGTTTCGAGGTGAAAGTGCCTGCACAGTGGTTTTGAACCTATGAGAACAACCAGCTCAATGCCAACGCGCTATTTTGCGCGTGTATCATCAACGCACATGTCCGTGCTGGGGCGCTGTGGGTTTCCCAAATATGCAAGCACACCATACAGACACACACACACACACACACACACCTTGGTTGGGTCACGCCCCACAAACATGGTCTTTGCTTTGAAACTGCTCGCCACTTCTCAAGTGTTGCGTATGCAAGTTGAAACCCCTTGCGCCAGGGTCATGGATCTCAAGGAATGTCCAGCCTCAAAACTTCCCCCTGGCTCCCGCGGGCTAGGAGATCCGGCTTAACCCGGCACACCCACGCTGCGCCCTCCCCCCCCCCTCCCCGCTGCCTCGGCAGGCCCGAACGGAGGTCTAACTCTACACCTTGGCTCGAACTTGGCACATCGCGGAAGATTTATTTCTTTATATATTTATTGTTAAAAACTCAGGGCCCCAGAAAAACCGCTGCTGCTGCTGCTGCTGCTGCAATCGCTGCTGTAATTGCTGCTGCTGCTGCTGCTGCTATCGCTGCTGATATTGCTGCTGCGCTGCTGCCGCTGCTGTTGCCGCCGCTGCTGTACTTTTTCATGTTCATGATATTGACATTGTTGTTGATGATGGTGATGATGATGATGATGATGACGATGATCGTGATGACGTTGTCGTCGTTATCGTTGTTGATGTTCTTGTTGTGGTTGTTACGGCAGCTGTGGTTGATGTTGTTGATGATGTGGTTGTCGTGTTGTTGCTGCTCGTTGTTGGCTGCGATTATTTAATTACCTAATAAATTCACCAATT